TATGAATAATATTTATTTATAATATTAAATATTTATAATATAATATCATCATTTATATTTATTTATATTTATTTATTATAATAATACAGATTCTATTAACAATTAATTAATTTTTATTTATTTAATTAAAATATTACATTTATTATTTATATAATTTTAATTGTTATTTAATTTTAAATCATTTATGATTATTTCATTTTATTTATTATGATAATTCAATTAATACAGTATTTTCTTATTACATAATTTATATATTAAAATAATTTTTATTATCATTTTTAATGTTATAATCATTTTATTATTTTTGAAATAATATTCAACACTTTTCATAAACAAAATATAGATAAATATAAAAGATAAATACTTAATATATAAATAAAAAGCATTTGAAAATAGTAATTCAATAGTATAATATGATAAAAATAAATAATTATTTATTAAATCAAATATGATGATATGGATTATAATATTTATTCTGTACTTTAACAAATAAATAAAAATAATATTAAACTTAAAAATAATAAATAAATTAATAAAAAGAATCAATTCCAATACAATAAGGATAATTAATTTTAACTGAATAAAAAGATATTATCTAATACAATTCATATATAATATTTATAATTATTTAACATTTTTAATTAAATAATTTTATATAATTTTTTTGCAAGACAGTTTTTAAAGACCTGATTAATTGAGAATTAACATTTAGATATTTTGTTATAACTATTTTAGTATATCAAAATACAGAAATTTTTCTAATTTGAATATAATATCATTAGAAAATCTTAATATAATTAGTTATTGCATTATAGTAAATGTTAAATAAATTAGCTAAATTCTTATATAACGAAATTTGAATAACAGAGATAGTACTATTGAGTCATGTTGAAGTTTAATTAGAAAACGATTATTGTTAATATTCATTCATAATTTGATTTTAATATTAATTTTCATTTTCTCATTTTCTGGTAGTTATAAATATAAAAATGTAACCAAGATTATCACGATTATATGAACTGCTGAGAGTATAAGTTTTGCTTGTGATACTCAGATATAATTGTTTTTAATTAAAATAATATAAAATATCAAAAAGATCAAAAACGTTATAAATTATTTCTTGGTTTTCAGTATATCCTATTCCCATACTTACACAGTTTCAATCACACAAAAAGATACTTTTAAATAATAAAACAAATCACTTGTTAATTGTGTAAAGTTTATTGTTAACATTTTTATATTTCTCAGTATAGTGAAATAATTTTATTTTGAATGTTATTTAATAAAAAAGGGAAACCTCAAAAAAAATGTATTAATAATCATTTTTCAATAATTTTTATAAAACAAAAAAATCAAAAAGGGTTTTTATTGGATGAAGACAACAATTGATAAATTTCATAGACAAGCAAAACAAGAAGGATATCGGGCACGTTCTGCTTTTAAGCTAATTGATGTTGAACGAGATTTCCATATTTTTGATGGCGTCCATAATGTTGTTGATTTATGCGCAGCACCTGGAAGTTGGAGTCAAGTTTTAAGTAAAACCATAAAAGAACCAAAAAATATTGTTTCAGTTGATTTACAAGATATTGCACCAATAGAAGGAGTAAAGTTAGTGAAAGGTGACATTACAAAAGGGTCAACAGCAAAAGAAGTAATGTCACACTTTACTGATGGAAAGGCTGATTTAATAATTTGTGATGGAGCACCAGATGTAACAGGAATACATGATATTGATGAAGCAAACCAATGGATATTGATGCAAGCAGCATTTTCAATAATGGCAGTTGTATTAAAACAAGGAGGTTCGTTTGTAGCTAAAATATTTGTAGAGAATGAATACCCACATTTATACTTTCAATTTAAATCAGTTTTTGAAAGTGTTACAATTTATAAACCAGAGAGTAGTAGAAGTAGTAGTTATGGTTTGTTATTATTCTTCTTTTTCTTATTCAAAATTCATTTAAATAGAACATTTTGTTGTTTGTAAAGGATTTAATGAAGCAAATACTTGTTTATTAGAAGAAGTTCCAGATAATTTAGAAGAATTACCATTAACAAAACGTGTAATGACAAGAGAAATAGAATCTGTTCCTATTCAACTAGAACTTTAAATTTTAATATCTTTAAATTTCTAAAATATTAAATGGTAATTAAAATTAATAAACTTATCAATTTCGGTTATATTTCAATTCATTCTCCCTCTATCCCTCCTCCTTCTTTTATTAAATCAATTACTTCTTCTAAAACTAATCACTTTTCATCAATAAATGAAATTATTAATTCTTGTGACTCAATTCATCTACCTCAATGCAAAGTGTTATACGATAATGAAATAGATTGCTTGGACTCTTTCTCTTTATTCTCTAAAATTCGTGGAAGAAAAAATGTTCACATAATTGTTAAAACCTTAAATGGTCATTTATTTGGTTCCTTCCATTCATCTATCCCATTTAACATTAAACATGGTATTATTCAAACAGATTGCACTATTTTCAAACTATCAAAACCTCCTTTCCTTCTATTTCCAAACAAACAACCAACTTCAATCCAATTCAATTTTGAAGATAAAACAACAATATATACTATAGTTGATGCTTTTTCAATTAGAAAAGAAACTGGTCTTGTTTATCCTACAATTAAACATAATTATCATTCCTCTTCTTCTCTAATCCAAATTAATCCATCAGTACTAGCCGAAGATCGTACTTTTTCAGTTCAAAGAATTATAGCATTTGAAACTGAAGCAGATAATATTCTTATTAACTCGTTACTCTATTTTTTGGTTTATATGAAAAAATAAAATAAAAATTTTAAAACAAACAACACATTTAAAGAGTAGGAGGTAAAAATTCATTCATATTTTTCATTTCCATAACGTCAAGTGTTACACTTGGCATTGGTCCTATTCCTTCTTGTGATTGTTGTGGGATTGAAGTAAGAGTTGGCATGTCATCAACAACAGGTTTAATACTATCAACATGAGTTTCTTTTGTTTTATTTGTTTTAGCAAGTTCAACGTAACGAGTTTTTTCTGTTTCAGGTAAATCTTTCCACATTGATGATAATGTTGTCATTCCTTTTCCCCTACTTCCTTTTTCACGAACATTTTCTCTATGATCTCTACAGAATAATAAGAATGGATTGCACTCAGCTCTATTTTTACCAAATTCACTTCTTACTTGTCTTTTT